CATCCATCCCTGGGGTGCGTGGGGTTAGACCTCACGGAGCACCATTTGCACAGATTCATGAGGAAAGGCTTCTGACGAGGTGTCCCAGATGGTCTAGTTAGAGAAATGTGGAATTTTTAAGGAACCCAGAAGAGCCTGACAGACTGAGCTGCCGTCCCTTCTCATCTTCCCCTGTTTACTGCTGTGGAAAACACGAGGGAGAGGGCATTTCCTCCATACTTTTCAGACAGACAGCTCATTCCTCAGCATCTTCTGTTCTCACTTCCACTGTCACCTACTTTGTACGATGGTACCTGAAATCTGTCCATGCTCAGATGCCCACCACTCTGTGTATGCAGAGATGTGGATCAGCCCTCTCTTCCTTCAAATTCATCTTTGTACCTTGAAGGCCATTCTCTTTTTGGCTACTACTAAGCAATATGTCTGTCTCACCTCCTCTTCCCAGTGTGTCCTTAGGATCCTCTAGTTCTTTTGTAGTTATGTTTAAAATCATTAGCCTCATCTTGTGAAGTTTTTAGTAAATAAAGGAGTAGTAATCTGCATCCTGGTCTTGTTTTCAAGTAAATGGACTCTCTTGTCTCAGCAGGAGAATTACCCAGGCTTGGGTTTATCAGTGTAGGAGAGAGGGGGCGGGCAGTCATGTGCCAGAAGTACGTGGGATGTTTGCGTGTAGGGAGAGCTCATGATGAGCCTCCACACTGTTTTCCATGGTGATGGTTCTAATGAACAATGAAGAATAATGAAGTCCCAGAGCAGAAAGCGGTTTGGGGGGATTGATCAACATCTGTTCAGTGGAGCAAGATTTTCTCAAAGGCCTCCTCACTGGACAAGGAGAAAGGAAATTATTTACAGATAATGAGAAAGTGTATGAGGAATTTCTATCAAATAAGAGAATGTCCTACAGGTAATAGTTTAGTTTATATGCATCGCAGGTTTCAAAATCATTATACATGTAGTTTTACTGCATGTATAATGGAAGTGGAAATTGAATTGAATAGTATGTTTAAAATAAGTTTAGATACAATGAATTAAGATGGATAAATCTGACAAAATATAAAATAATTCTATACAATGAAAAATATAATAATTTGGAAAGAAAAGATAACAAAGGTCTAAATAAATACACATATAAGCCTTGATCAAGAGCCAGATGACTTAATATTAGTACAATGTTCATTCTTTCCCAATAACCTTATTAAATTAATTAATCTCAAAATGAAAATTCTAACATTCTTAAAAAATGCAAAGGAGCTACAACAGCCAAGGAAACCTTAATGTAGCTAAAAAGATAGAGTTGCCCTATTTCAAGAATTGAAAGATAACAAACAAGATATTTAAATAATTGTAGAAATATATGCCTGTAACTTAACAAATATCATGAATAGATCCACGTGTATCTGTATATGTAAACAGCTAGTAATGGTAAAAACCTAAACAAAGATTACAAGAGAGAAAGTAGAATCACTAAAATGACTAGTCCTGAATCCTCTGGATATCCATATGCACAGAATAAGCCTGGATCCACACTCTACCTATGTATATCTATATTTATTAATAGTAATAGTAATGATATTCTCTATTAGATTTCTTACCCTTAGGACAAACTACTGGACACCAGAAGTGAAAGGGGCAGAGGTTTATCCTGCTTCACAGTTTTCAGCCAAGAAGCAAAGAGAGAAGGGGAGAGAATACACTTCCAGTGATGCGCCAAGTGACGCTCCCACATTTTAGCCAGGCCCCTCCTCTAAATGGGGGACTTTGGGGGACATTTTAGACGTGAGTCATAGCACTTTCTCTCTCCATCAAGACACAGAAACACTAACAGGGATATTGTGAAGGATTAGATCATGTGATTGTGACATCAATCATACTTGAACACAGTGCGGCAGGTTTGGAAACTCGCACAGCATTTCTTTGTTTTTCTTAAAATATGTTACCTGACCATTTGATTAAGTAAAGCTCATTAATTCGGAAGTTCAATGTTATACTTCATGGCAATCATAAAATTCACACTCATCAAACCCAACCTAGCTTTACCCAAATGTCCCTACACTGTTCCTATCCTCTCATAAACCGACACACTGTTTAGGCAACTTCCACGTGCTTCCTGAATTAACCCTGGGAAACAATGGAAGAGAGAGACATTAAAACCTGGCAAACACACGTGAGCAAGTAAAGGTCAACTGCAAAAGGTGAAGAAGCCATGGGAGAAGTGGCAGGTTGCTGAGCTTGGGCTTGTGGTTGAATGGGGCAGGGAAGTAGAGGGTCTGCCCTGAGGTGTGCAGAGGTGGCCCATGACGGCATGAGTTGGAAGAAAGTTTTAAAACTCCTTCCTGTATAATACTGCACAGTCTCAGGCAACACCTCATGCCAGAGATTCGAATGACCTACTTGTAACAGCAGGACACCAGGACACCAGACACAGTCTGGCTGCAGAGATGCTACTGAGAAGCACCTGAAAACACCCCACTGGCTGAGGACTGGCTTTCAACACCACCGCTATTTAAGAGAATATGAAGAATGCAAGGGAAGTAAAATATATAGCAGTGAAGCATACTTTATAATCATGGTTATTCTATGATCAAATAAGAGTCTGCTCCCTTGCGCCCCAGGGAGCCCTGGGAGTCAGAGTCCCCCTGTGAGGTGATCATCCTCTGGCCCATGGAGGACAGCTGCCTAGGCTGTGCCAAGAAGCAGACTGAAGACCTCTAGAAGGGACACGGGTGACCTACAGTATACCGTCATTCCCCGTGTGCCGCCTCCCGGGCACAGTGATGCGTGTGATGTCCACTGACCCCTGCCTCTTGGGGTGAGAGAAATAGCCTTGCTCTGAGCTGGGTGTTTCAGGTGAGGGGAGTGGAGAGGCTCCAGCTCTGTTAGAGGTGCAGGAAAGCAGAAGAGGGAGTGTGGAAGCCCCTTCCCTGACAGAGTCTCAGCAAACAGTTCAGATGTGTTGTTTTGTGTTTCCCACACTGCCAGGAGGGATTTTCCAGTGAGACCGAATTGCTACTCACTGGTGCTTGAGAGTCAGGCTCTTCCTCGGAGGGGATCAGATTCAGTTCCGTAGAGGACATGGATCCAGCTTCGGCCAGGAACTAAGCAGATGATTCGGACTTAGGCTGGGGAGATGGGGTGCTAGTTTTCACCTGCCGCTGCCAACCCTCAGCACTTTGCAGGATGTGGGCTCCACTGACTGCCTCACCGAGTTAGGGCAAGAGGGGATCCTGTTGGGAGGCTAGGGCTTCAGGTGAGAGGAGTAGAGTGGGCAGGGTCAGTTAGGGTTCATCGTGCTGGGCTGTGGGGGGAGTAGAGAGGCCCCAACCCAGAAAGAGGGTCCCTTAACTCTCCAGATCTTCCTCTCTTGTCAGCCCTACACCACACACGGGCAGATTTGTTAGAATGAGCTTCTGCCTCAGGGGAGGGGAGCAGAATCAGGTTTTTAGAGGACTAGGCTACAAGCTCTGACAAGAGTCAGTAAGCTTTTCCCTAGGGCGGAGGAGGGGTCTGAAGAATTCCATTCCCCTACTATTCTCAGCTCTGGGAGACCCCGTGCACCTTTTCCAGATATGAAATCCACTCCCCGCCTCCTCTTTGGGTCAGAGCGACAGGAGGCTTTGTTCTGAGCTGTGCACTTCAGGTGAGTGAGCAGAGAGGGCCCTGCTCGGATGGGGGTCACATTGAGGGGTTGTGGGGGGAGTGAGGAAGCCCCACCTCAGGGAAAGGGCCCTGGAACAAATCAGATTTATCCTGTTGTTATTCCAACACTCCAGGGACCAGTTCTCTGGTGGGGGCCCGGTTTTGCCTCAGGGTATCTACAGTGTACAGTCCCAGACTTGCTCTGAAGGCCTGGTTTCAGGAGGGAGAAGTAGAGAGGACCTGGGCACACCTAGGCCAATGGGCGGAGTGAATAAGTACTGAGGAAACCCAATCTCAGAGAGAGGGTCCCAGAACATTTTCGAAACCTTCTGTTGCCTGCCTTACAGCAGGCAATACAGAATTCTCAGGAGAGCAACCCCTGAGCAGTCCATGGCCCTGACACGATATCAGAGCCTTGTGCTGAGAACTGAACCTCAGGTGAGAGGGGCAGAGAGAGGGCCTGTGATCAGTTACATCTGGGTGAGGGGCAGTTGGTGGTACTCAGGAATCCCCACCTCAGTGAGATGATCTCAGAATGTTCTAGAAAAACCTCTCTTGATGGACCTGCATTTCATAGTGCAGCAGTTCTCAGGACAGCACCCCTGTTCTGCACAAGGGGAACTGAGAGTTCCCCATTTAACTAAGGATTTTGGGGTAGTAGGGGCAAAAGTTCTGTGTCAGGCAGCTCAAAGGAGTCCTGCATCAGGGGAAACATGTCTCAGGTGAGCACCCCTTTGCCTCAGGAGAGGCTGGGCCTAGTTCTGAGCACTGAGCTTCAGGTGGGAGGAACAGAGAGGACCTGGGCTAGATTAGGACAGGATGAGGCCCTGAAGGCACGTGAGGGATCCCCAAGCCAGGGAGAGAGCCACCAAACACCCCACATCTGCCTGTGTTGTAGTCCAACAACAGGAGAGGGGGGAATTCAGACCATCAACCTCCTTTGCCTCAGGGCACCTTGAGTGCAGAGAGAGAGAGTCTTGTTTTGAAACCTGTGCTGCAACTTTAGGGAGCAGACAGGACTGGGCTTAGTCAGGTCCAGGTGGGGGATGGTTTAAGCCTCAGATCACATAGGGTTTCCTCAGCTAACCCAGATTCCCTTCTGTCTGCACACACAAAGAAGATATGAGCTACACCACACACCAGGGAAGCTATGATAGGTTGGGCCCCTCAGCCATGTCTGTCCCAGGTGACCTGGTTGTCAAAGTCTTGTTCTGAGGTTAGCATCACAGGTGCGCTAAGAAGATAGGACTCCAGATTGGTTAGGTTAAGCTGAGGGGTGGAGTTGCAAGAGGAAGCCCCATGCCAGGTAAAGATTCTCAAAATAACCACATCTGCCTCTCTTGACAGTCCTGCACCGTGCGGTGGAGAAATCTCAGGTGAACACTTCCTGTGTTCACAGGGCACTCCTGTAATTCAGAGCCTGGATCGGAGGGCTTTGCTTAAGGTGAGAGCAGCAGAGAGGACCTGGTGTCAGCTTGATCAAGTTGAGCTGCTGTGGGGTAAATGTGGAAGCCCTGAGCCAGGTAGCAGGTCCCCAGTTAATACATATCTGCCTGTGTTATCAGCCCTGTACCTGCCACACACTAACCAGGCCACTCCATTTCCGCACCCCACACCCATGGGAGGAGATGTTGTCAGGACTCAAGGGGAAGACATACAGTGAATGGGAGGAGACAGTGCACCCTACATCAGAGGGTGAGCTCCACCCCAATGTCAGCCCCGGGGAGATGCAGTGCACTTTGCCCATGCAACTTGGTATCAGGCTGGAGAGGGCGTAATTCTGAGTAGTATGGCTTCAGGTCAGCAGATCCAAGATATGGGAAGTTGGTCCAATGTCAGTCAGGGTGGCCAAAGGCAGAACTGTGGAGAACACTCACCCTGGCCCGTACTTCCACCTCTGCTCTCCTACGGCAGTGGTGGACCCAACTTGCCAAATGTAGCCACAGGTCAGAAGCAGGCAAATGTGAGCACCTGGGCCTGCAGTAGACAGAAGAGGTCCTCTGTCAGACGAAGGAAACCCTTACAGTGGTGTGCAGATGTGCTGCATTTTTTCTCCCTTGTCTCAGGGAAGTGGCCCTTGCTCTGAGGAGGAGACACGTCCTGTTGGAAAAGGGAGCAGGCCAGGATCTCCTGAGAATCAAGGACAGGAATCCAGGTGAGAAGTGGAAGTTGTTTATACTGGAGCATGTTTGTAATACATAACAATTATACACATTGTGGGAAATTGCTACATGTACGTGACACATATTCATTCTTTTTCATGCCTTTTGCCTGTGCTAACTCTTAAACCCTGCATCTCTGGAAAATATCCATGCATATGAGTGCATACATTCTACATGTTTGGAGTGCATGACTATCTCATTCCTCATAGGCAATTGAATGTGCAAATTTCAGAATTTCTCCCTCTTTTTAATTGTAAAGAGAAAAGAATAAAAATCAGATAACAAAAACAAAGACAAAAACAAAACAACACAAAAAAATAGAAATGATGCAGCATTCCAAGAAAAGATGATAGGAAATTACAGTGGTTGTTGTATTACACCCTGTGACCTTCAGAATAGTTGCTCAGATTACTAGATATAAGCATGCAACAGTAGAAGAGAAAGTAGGCAGAAATTTGAAGACATAGGTGTAGGCAGAGGGTTCAGGAACAAAAACCAAACTGCAAGCGAAATACTCTAAAGAATCAACAACTGGCATCTCCTCCTATTCAAAAGTTTTGCACATCAAAGGTAGTCAACATCAGAGTAAAAAGAAAGCCAGCAAACTGGGAAAAAATTTAGCCAAGTGTCCCTCTGACAAGGGACTTCTATCTAGAACTCATAAAGAATTTTAAAAATCTCCCTCTTTTTTTATCTTACTCCCCTCTTTCCCTAGTCTCTCTTCACATAGCTCCCTTCATGTATGCTAAAGATCTATCTCAGCATTTACTATTGTCTACATTTTATTTGCTCTTTATTTATATTGTAGGTTTCTCCTATAATAGAAACCATGCAATGTTTAAGCGTGTGTGTGTGTTTGATTTACTACATTTAATATTGGGATCTTGAAGTGCATACATTTTCCTACAAAACACTCCAGATTTTCCTTTTTATGAGAGAGTGGTACTCCATTGCACATGAATAACACATTTTCTTTATCCACTCTTCTCTTGATGGACATATAATCTCCTTCCAATATTTAGCTACTGTCAATTTTGCTGCTATAGACATGGGTATGTATCTAGCACTATATTATGATGTCTTTAATTCTCTTAGAAAGAAACCTAGAAGGGAATATCTCAGTTTGGTGTAATTTTTGGTGTTAGCTTTCGAAATAATTTCCACATTGATTTCCATAGGGGTTGCACCACGTTGTACTCCCACCACCACGGAGCACGTGTTCCTTCCACCCCCTCCCCTCAGTCTCACCAGCATTTCCTCTTATTTCATTTCTTGAGGAGGGTCAATCTTTCTGGAGTGAGATGAAATCTCAGTGTTGACTTAATTTGAATTTATTGAATGGCCAGAAAAAAATGGCACATTTTTTTCATGTATTTGTTGGACAATTGTACTTTTTCATCTGAAAAGTGTCACTCATTTGAGAACCCAGTTTCTTGATTCTTTCTTTTAATTTTGAAAAATTATTTTTTTAGTTTTATCTATTCTAGATATTAATCCCCGGTCTGAGGAATGCCAGGAAGATGTTTCCCCATTCTGTAGATCATCTCTTCACTATGCTGTGTGTTTGCTTTGCTGTGCAGAAGCTTTTTAATTAGATAGGATCCTATTTGTTGATTCTTGGTATTACTTCGTGTGCATCTAGGGTTCTGTTCATAAAGAGCTTACTTATGCCTGTGTCTACTGTTTCAGCTCTTTTGTCTTACAGCTGATTTTTTTGTGTTTTATTATTTAGATTGTTGATGTATTTTGCTTTTATCTCAGTGCATGGTCAGCAATATAAGTCTAGGTTCAATCTTCAGCATGTGAGAGCTAGTTTTCTGAGCACCCTTTGGTCAAGACATGATATTTACTTTATCAATGTATTTGGACTTTGTGAAATATAAGACGTTTGAAGTTGCTTGGTGTTGCTTTTGTATTATTTGTTCTGTTGCATTCATCCAGAAGTCTGTTTTTTTCCAATACCGTGCTGTTTTTATTACTATAGTTTGTACTTTATTATGAGGTCAAGGATTGTGATGCTTCCTACCTTCCGCTTGTTGTCTATTATTGCTTTTACTATTCTAAGTCTGTTCTGGTTCCATATAAATTGGAGGATTATATTCCAGAGTTCTGTGAAGAATCCTACTGCAAGTTTGTTTGGGAATGTGTTATATTTGTACAATAGTTTTAAAATTACGACCATTTTTACTGCACTCTTTCTGCCTATATCGGAACAAGTTTTCTTTCCATTTTCTGTTATCCCATTCAGTCTCCTTTCACAGAGTAGTGTAGATTTCACTGTAGAGGTCTTTTGCTTCTTTGGTTTGATTTGTTTCTAAGGATTTCATTTTTTGGTGCCAGTGTGAACATTATTGTTTCCCTCTTCTCTTCTAGAGTTTATTAATGGTGTACAGGAATGCTATTGATTTTTGTGTGTTCGCTTTGTAAGCTTTTCCAGAAGTAATGATTGAATTAATTCTAGAAGCCTTTTGTTGGAGTCTTTGAGGCCTTCTATATACAGGATCATGTCATTTCTAAATAATGATAATGTAGATATTTCTTTCATATACATGTCTTTGATTTCTTTCACTTATTTAGTTTTTCTGACTAATGTGTTCCAAATGATCTGGAGCAGGAGTGGTGGGAGTGGACATCCTTGTCTTATTCTTGATTGTTGAGGGAAAATTTTCCATTTCTCCCCGTTTAATATGAATTTTGTCATTGGCTTATCATAGATAGCTTTCAAGAGATTGAGAGGATGTTCTTCTATGCCTATTTTCTTCAGAATTCTCATCATGGGTGGATATTGGGTTTTGTCAAATTTATGTTCTGCATCTGTTGGGATGATCATATATTTTGTGTCTGGATTGTTATGGTTTTCATTAAAATTTTGAACCAAAGTGAACCATACTTGCTCCCAAAGAATGAATACTACTTTATTGTGATATACAATTATTTTGATGATTTGCTGCTTTCCAGTATCTTGCTAAAGACTGTACATGCACATTCACTATCATGGAGGGAGATGAGTTTTCTGAGACTTTGCTCAAGCAAGCAGAGGACTGGGATCCAGGCCCAGCTGAAGGACATTTGATGGACCTGAGTGAACAGAGAAGAAACTGTTCACCCAGAAGAATGGGACCCTTACACGTTCAAGGCACCCCACCTGTGAGGAATTGGGTTGCAGTACTGTGCTTCCCTTCTGCAGGCAGGGCTCCTCCATGCCTCTTGGAGGAGCTCAGGAGCCAGGGGTGGAGGTGTTGTTGTTGGGCAGTGTCCTCAGCTCACACTGTGGAGGACACACACGCAGTGCAAGAGTGCAGGTGAGGTGCAGGCCCTGATCTATACCGAGGTTTCTCCCTATCCCAAAAAGACATTTCATAGTTCCCAGGTTTCACATGCCACACTCTCTTCCCTAGAGATTTGTCCTCTGGGCTCAACTGCAGCCTGCCAAGCAGCTTCATTTCATATCACACCATCCTGGGGACAGGAGCTTGTGAAACCTAGAGCATGTTCCAAAGAGAAGATGTGTAATGGGCCTTTGTGTGATGGAAAAAGTGTGTGATACTCAGCTGAAAGCATTCATAGTCTCCCTCTCTTCTTCAGGCACCTGAAACCTCAAGAAAACTCTGGATGTCCAAACAGAACATCATGATGCCCCATGGTCAGAGGAGTCAAGACCACAAGCCAGAAGAAAGCCATCCCGGCCAGAGTAGTGCATGGGTCCGCATGGGTGTGCAGGGTCTCGAGGATGAGGAGGAAGCAGCAGCCACTGTTCCGGCTGCATCCTCTTCCTCCTGTGCTTTAATGGGGGCCACAGCAAGAGAAGAGCCTGGGCCCAGGACACCAAGTTGTCCTCAAAATCCTCATGACATGTCCTCTCCGCTCATTGCTGTGGCTTCCAGTGAAAGCAGTCAATGTTGTCAGGGACCCAGCAAGCAAGAAGAGCAGGGCCCAAGTCACTCCCAGGATAAGGAGACACGTCAGATCACGCAGGGTGAGATTGCAAATGATAAGCTAGATAAGATTGTGCGAGTTCTGCTCCAGAAGTATCAGAAGAAGGAGCTGATCACCATGGAAGAACTGGTGCACATTGTGGACCATGATTCCCATGATGACTTCCCTATGATCATTAGGGAAATCTGTGAGTGCATGCATCTGAGCTTTGGCATTATGATGAGGGAAGCGGATTGCCCTGGCCACAAATATGAGCTTGTCTCTGTCTTGGGCCTCACTTATAGGGGGATACTGGATGATGATGACCAGATTATTCCTAAAGCTGACCTCCTGATGCTCATCCTGAGTGTCATCTTCCTAAAGGGCAACCGAGTCAGTGAAGAGCAACTTAGGGAAATTCTGAGACATAGGAAGAACTTAGCTGACAGGGAGCACATT